TAGGTGCAAGCTAATAAAGGAACTATACTGGACTGGACTGCCTTGTTGTCGTTCTTGGGCTGGGCCTGACAGGAATACACACACACACACACACACACACGCATAAAATAAGCTTTACACTACAGTAGGAGTTCCTAAACTTTTTGCCATCACACCTCCCTTTAGTGTAATCTTAATGTACACACCTCCCCTAAAAACCCAGACACCAAAATGAATGCAAATGAACAATGAAAACATGAAAATATAATGAAACTTTGGGAAAGGTGGATTTATTTTAGCAATGTAACTAAAAGGTTCTTCACACTTCCCCTGGACTCGTCTGCACCTCCCCAAGGGAGATACACCTCACAGTTTGAGAAATCCTGCACTAGAGCACAGGTTGAAGTAAAAATACAATGAGTCGTATACGCTTTTGACTGGGATTGGAATTACTACCATTTGAAATAGAAAGTTCATCCTGAATATACTAGTTGTTCTTAAGATTCAGAAATATGTGTCACATAAATGTGATTTACCACTATATGGATATTAGGATAACATTTTGCCATCTATTAAAGGTACTTTGGCACAGGGCCTTTAACATTTATTATCATTTTACACGTAGTCTCTTCAAATCTCAAAGATGACCAGAAAACACAAACTTTTATTAAAAGGTCATGGACTGATAGCAATATGTATAAGATTTAAACAGCTTACCTCTTCTTTCAGAGCATTAATATTTTGGTTAAGGTAAGACAAGTCTGTCTCCAGTTCATCTACCTTTGGAGTCTGAGTTTTAATAACAGAACGAGAGTGGTTCAACAGAATCTGAAAATAAAGGCCAAACAGAATGGGAATCCTCAAACTGTTCATAAATACAGTATGGGATTAGGAAAAATATATTAGACAGAAAAGCCCTGGAATCAGACTTCACAAATCAGCTCCTACTATCATTAGTAGATGAAGAGATGACTGAATCATAGGATAGAATTCAACAGAAAGCAAGTTACCTGGATGCCCTGAGAATTGAAAGGTATTACCTCTGGTAGCAAGGAGGAACAGGAAGGGAAGTGTTAAGGAATCCATCTGGAACAGGGCCAGAATATTGCATAGAATCTTAGCACACTGATTTCAATAGGTTTAAAAATGTACCAAATTCTGTGTGGGACAATGAACAATAGTGGATGGTCTTTATATGTAGTTGCAATTTCCTGTGAAATGATACCTTGTTTATATTTATAGTATTTGTATTTTCAAGAAAGCTCACAGGTTATATTTAACATTTCAATTACAACAATAAAATAAAATCAACATATTTCAAATTAGCAGAAAAACAGAAATAATAAGAGCATAGCAGGAGCAAAATCAAACATTTCTAATGTTACTTAGAAAGTTTCAAAAATTTAGAAAGGTCCTGCTTTGCTAAATATAAAACAGACAAAAGAATAGGTTTTAGATTACTCTCCCTGAGGAAGATATTCTAAAAACGAGGGGCTACAATCAAAAAGATCCTTTCTTTGGTTTCCCCAACCTATCTTCAGTATATATGGGTACCATAAAAGTGCTTCCAAAGATGAAATCATTCAGAAGATGTTCATGCAGAAGAAGATAGAGAAGATCAAGGACTTGAGTCCCAATCATGCAGTCATTCTGAATGGTGCTTGGAAATTAATTTGCAGCTACTATGACTATTTAAGGTCTAACAAGATACCCAAGATGGTAATTTTAGCACTATACTGTTGACTAACCAGAAGAAAACAATGGCGAACCACTTCTGTACTGCTGCCAAGAATACACGTCTGTGAAGTCAGCAGGAGTTGAGTAGGAATTGGGCCGAATTAAATTTTAAAGAAGACTTTAAAGACAGATACATGAATAATGCATTCCAGTGGTCTAATCTGAATTGGCTGCTAGGGTCTTTCTCCTGAAGTGGCACAAGAAAGAGCAATGGAATGGATTTCATCAAAATTCAGAAACATATTCCAGCCCCATAAGAGCATTTAATATGACATTTCTCTTACTGAGTTGCTTCTAAAGCATGCTTCAGAAGTGTACTCAAACCCCTGGGAAGTGTACCCAATCCCATGGAAAGCCAGGTTTTTCAAGTTACCTCCAGTTGGTTGCTACGATCTTCCAGGAGCTTCATCTGTCTCAGCACTTGGGCACTCGTGTTGATATTTTGCATCTGAAATTCAATCACTCGGAGCTCACTTCCCATTGTACTCAAATCCTCCAGCAATGTGATTACACAACTCCCACAAGCTAAGTGAAAAAGTGCACACACAGAACAGTTTAAAGTGTTAGTTTTTAATATATTCAAAAAAAGAATGGGCCTACTGAAAACAATAATGGGACAAAAAGATATTTCCAGAAAATGTCATCTGTTATTATAACAAATAACAAGACATTTGAAATGTTATTACAAAACTATGTTTGTCATACAACTGTCTTGCTTGCCTGCACTGTTTTACTGTTATAACAAACAATAAAGCCAAATACAGGTAAGATGGTAACCAAATCCTTGAAGCCACTCTTTGTATGTCTCTTATGTAGCTTCAGTATTTCCTAACTTGCTGCCCTCCAAATGTGTTGGATTACAACTTTCAGTATCCTGACCATTAATAGAGAAGTCTTCTCTCATTACTGAGAGCTTAGTTTCTGAATATGCTTATTATCCACAAGAAAACACCACAATTGTTCTTTCTAATCGCCCAAAACACTTACAGTTCTTTATTAACACTATATAAGCAAGCTTCCAGACTGTATAAGGTTTATAACTTACAATTACAATCTTCATTTGGATCTATGTCTTTTGGTTCTTGGCTTATACATTCTGGAAATTAGAAAAAAGGCAAAATTAGAATTATAGGATGCAACACAGGTAATAGGTGTGACATTCTGAAATGTCAGAAAGCTGATGCTCTCTAGACTCCACTGAAAGCTGCACATTAACTCAGCACATTGCTAAAAAAAAATAGGCCACAATTTGCCCAGAATCAATGCTTTGATACCATTACATTAGAGAGGAAGTTTACAGGATCTTGTGGGTTTTTTCCCCTCAAAGTTATATTTACAAATTGTTTTTCCTCAAGTAACAATTTCGGCTAATGTGAACAAAAATACCATGATGTTGGGTCACAATCCTCAGCCCTTCAGAAATCCAAGGCATTGTTTATTGAATCTCTTACCAGAGAGTGAAACAAGGTAGCCCAAGGGCTCCTGAACTGGTGCTCTGATTAAACTCTTTTGGAGCCCAGAGACAAAAGATGTGGCATTAGAATACACGAATGGTAAAATATAATCAAAACATTCAACCAAGACAACCCACATTTAGGGCTCCTGGCAACATTACCTTTAGCAGTGTTTTGAGCTATTTCTGAACAGCTCCTTCCCCTATTGATCAATAATTCTGGTTCATGCAGGTGTCCACACTGTGGCTGTCTCTCTTGCCAGTATGATTCCATTATCACAAGAGGAGTGATATTGACATGTAAAGGAGCCATGCTGTCAAAAGACCACAGGCTGCCGAGTCTCTAAAAGACTTCCTTTCAAAACAGGCTGGACTCCCATGATTTTGTACACATTCCAGCTTGAAAATCAAAATTCAGTCCATAGTATGACTACTGAGAAATACTTCAAATATACAAAGCACAAGACTTATATCCCTTTGAGTATCGCCTCATCTCATTAACTTCAACCTCCAAGCTAAACAACTGTCCATCTGATTTGCTAAGTGTATCTAAAGTGATTTTGCAGGATAACCAAATACAAAACTCAAGACCTATGCTGCAAATATTACTACTGAAGATATAAGTAATCTGATGTTTCTCAACCTCAGTAACTCAAAGATGTATGGACTTCAACTCCCAGAATTTCCCAGCCAGGCTGAACACTGAAGTAATCTATCACTTCTAATCACTTTTATCTCATGACACATAAAGAAAGGTGTCAATTAAATATGACTTGTCATTGCCTAATAGGAATGAGAACATCCAAAGATATGCAATGAAAGACCAATAAGCTACTGCATGACCACAATTAAACCAAGGCTCAATCCACTACTGCAAAACCACAATGACATCAGGGCTTACTAAAGCAACTGCACTGTTGATCACAGGGGATGTTACTGCTAATGTAGAGAAACAAATGGCTGGAAAAAACAGCTCAAAACTTAAATTGGATTCTGCATCAAGACTGAACTTGTTCTGGCAACTGTTAATTTCAGCAGCAGAACAGCACTTTAAAATATGTTGTCTGAAATATATGTGCCAGTTATATAATTCTAGTAGTTTACATAAAGGAGATTTGGAAAAGACCATTGCCTTTGAGACAGAAAGCATCATAATCTGTTCAGATAAACCAGGTTTCTCTTATGTGTATGTCATACATTTTGGGGAGTAGAACTGGAAACTATGTGCAAGCCTCAAAACAGAAGTCTGGTATGTGTCCCTGGCAAATGAAGTTTTCTCAGGCTCAAGCCTGGCCATGTGTCCTTGAGCTGGCCTTTGGTTCCTATTAAGTAAGGAATCCTGCTGGTTTGGGAACCTGCCTGAGGAACAAGTTCTACTAGTCCTTGTATATTCTTGTCCATGATCTAGATTCCTTGGTTCAACTCCCTGCTTTCTTGTTCATCTCTAACAGTTGCCTTTGACTCCAGACTTGAAGTGTGTATGCTTGTGTGTCATTATATGGGCTCCAAGTCTGACTTCTCCTCTGAGTAGTACAGAGAACATACAATGCATACTGATACACCAGGGTAGGAAACCTATGGATCTCCAGATGTTGCTGAAGTACAGCATCCTATATACAAATAAGAGAGCCAATCCAGCAAATTGAATTCACAAATCCAAGTGCAAAGCACCAAACTGTCTACTGTATGTGTTAATTAGCAAGCACCAAGTAAGTGAGCCACAATCCCTACATAATGGCATACATTAAAGAGAAACTATAAGAGTATTACTGACAGCTTAATGTTGGGATTTAGATAAAATTGTATCTTTTTAATTAGTGTTTGAGATATACATTATTAAATGGCTACTCTTTTTCTAATATAATCCATTAAGGTTTTTTTTTTCTTATACCAAACTTTGTTCTGACTCAGAAATGGCTAAACAAAGCTATAGAGTGCGAAACACATTACTGAAATCAACTTCCAACTGGATTTTTTTAGATGAAGGGAATATTATAAATGATGCTATACATACTCATAGAATGCATTTAGGATTGCTTTACTTCTGAAGGTAGTTATGTTGTTAAAAACACCCACAGTGGTTAGGCAATTTTACATTTGGGAATTCAAATTACAACCTTCAGCATCTTTCACTACTGGCCATGTTGGCTGAGGCTGCTGGAAGTTGTAGCTCAGCAATATCCAGAGAGCCCTATATTCCCCATGTCTATTTTTCAAGCTTATCATCCTTGAAACTTTGAAAGAGCCAACATTAAAATTGTATAGAAGAAATTCATAATGCATGTGGATATTCAAATTACCTGAATGCAATCAGCAATAAAATTTGTAGGATGTATGGCACATAAATCTGGATCATGCTGTTTAAACATTAACTATCACATTTAATTACTTCATTAAAAACATAAATCTGTAAAGCAGGCTTTTCAGATATAGTGGAATTAGAGAATTAGAGCTCCTAGCTCCAGCAGCCAATGGTTCTTGGGACTTGTACTCCAGCAACATCTGGAGAGCCATACTTTTCTCATCCTTATACTATACTATCATTTGTAGTATGGATGAACAGCTATAAGCTGAGAATTGGCAAAAGATGAGATACTGACTCAGCAATGGAGAAACGTAACTTTTATTTTCGCAGGAGACTTCCTAGTAGACTATATTCAAATAAATATCTATGATTTCCTTTCTGTTTGATATTATTCAGAAACATTTATGTCACTTTACATACCTCCAGTCAAGCGATCACACTTTGTGAGCTGGCCATTCTCAAGGCAATTACATTTTTGACAGTATCCTCCATATTTCAGTGGATTTCCAAAATAACCAGGAGCGCAGCTACAAAATAAATTAATGGACAAATAAAACTCACAAGTGATATATATCAACTCACACTGAAATGGTTTCTGCTGGCTTAAAAGTCTGCATCAAATCCATAAATTGTAATGATTTGTGTTACAATTGTCTAACCTGACCAAAATAAAGTAAAATTTCAGAACACAATTCATAAAGTATTTGGCTAACTTAGGGAACAGATGCATTATGAACCACTCAAAAAAATGAATAAAGCAAATAATTCTTAAGAAATAGCCTGTGGAGAAACTAGACTATATCCTATTTCTTTCCTAGTTTTTAAGAGACAGAGAAAGGTCAGAATTTTACATGCAGTGATGAAGCCAATAGCTCCTTGGCATTAAATATATAATTCACTTGGCGTCTCCAAACAATATCAAGATATACCCATAAAGTACAATATAATGACATTACAAGTTTCAGAAAAGAGCTTAATTTCAAGGTTCTGCAAGCCAGGTCTGCAGGAAAGGGGGAGAGTTGGGAGAGTTGGAACAAATCAGTACTCCAAACATTTTACTTTAAGAATTTGAGTTCTATCAGTTGGTCAATCCATCTAATCCAAAAGTTACTTGGTTACTACTTTTTAAATCTCTGCTCTTGCTAGCCACTCAGTTTTCAGGTGGTCTTACGATCATGTCATTCCAAAGATATTGCTAAGTATTGACAGATAGGCTACTGTAAAATATTAGGAGGCTTCAATATTATAGATATTACTTTTTCTATTTTTAACTGTATTTTTAATTTGATATGCACTGTACTGTAGACAGTTTAGTCCAAAAAGATATTTAACTTATTTCACATCCTACATGTCAAATAGCTTTCTGTGGGTTGCATCTATACTTCACACAACTGTTCAGATCTAAAAACATCAGTGTGTACAGACAATGTGTACAGACAATTCTAATGCAGAATTGGACATTGGTGCAGTTTATTCCAAAGAACATGAAATTAAGTAGTCCTAACTGGGAAGAACAGAGCATTCTGAAACTCTGAATCAAGCACAGCAGCTTATGTTTACATAAAGAGGGCAAGTGAGCACATGCACATGTTCAGAAGCCTTGTAGCACTTTGGACTCCAGCCCGAGCATGAAAATATGATGCCTGCTTAGTAAACCATATTTTCCAGCATGCTAGTAGGTTTCAATTGAGAAGATCTGCTTTAACTTTCTACACAGTAAATCAGTATTGAGACAAGTCACATACCTTTCACACTGCATTCCAGAATAGCCTTCTTTGCAAAAACACTGAATTTCTCCATTATCTTCCAGGCAGCCAGAAGCAAAACTACAAGTTAAAAAAAAAACAAGAAACATGAAAGACCTGAAAATAGTTTATTCTTTTAAAGGCATATTTAGACAGCTTACGGGGAAAATAATTTAACAGTTACATTACTGTCAGAACATCAAATAAAATGATAACACAAATAATTTCAGTCACAGACAAGTTGCAACTATTTTTGCTCTTACATCATTGTCTGTCATCTTTTTCTTAAAAATCAGAATGCAGTCCTAGATTCCTGACATTCTAAAAATCCAAATTGTGCAATAAGAAATTAGGGAATAAAAAAAGGCACTGGATGGTATTTTATTACTGAACAAGAATAAACCTTTGCTATTCTTCCTTTAGGAAGAATACCTCTATTTGATAAGTTGAAAGGATAATCTCCATGTTCACTGGATCATTGAACAATGCACAAAAGGTTGTCTATACATATCTAACAAAGAAAGTTATTACAGCCTTCCTTAGTCTATAATATTATCAGAAGTGGACAACCTGTGGCCTTCCTGAAATGGTTGCATTACAACTTCCACCACTGGTCACCATCAGCAATACCTAGCTGGAACTACTGGAAACTAGAGTTCAACAACATCTGGAGAGTCATCAGTTAGCCAACTCTGTTATTTCCTCAATTCTCTCCCCTCTTTGAAATCAACAACACAACACCAGGGAGAGCTTCAGCAGCAACGACGTGGAGCTCTATGCTAATAAAGCAAATACAGGTCTTCCCTAGAAGGTGAAGGTATTATTTAATTACAGTATTGCAGCAAACACAACCAAGTCTTTCAAGTGCTTGTAACAACGAGGTGGGTAGCCTTTAAGGTATCACGATATTATTTTGTTTTTGTTGAAATGAACTAATATGGCAAACTTTCAGAAAATTGTTCCAATATTCACTTTTTTATTTCTATTATTTTTAATGCATTCATGCATATTCAAAGTAGAAGATGTATGAGAAATTTCTATTGCATCTGGCAAAATAAATGAGTAAAAGCAATGAATTTGCCTTAAATATATTTTAAATTAATATCAATTGAATAAAATATATTTTAGACCAAACTAGATGACAAATTGCAGGCCAAGTCTCTTGCATCATAAATTTCTTTTAAAATGGACTGGAGCTGTGATGCTGGGGAACAGAAACAATGTGTTCTCTCTGTCTGCTTTTCTTGCAGGCTGTCCTGTTAGGACTAAAATCCTCCAAAAATGCAGACTTAAATTCCCATAATTCCCAGTTAGGATGATCGTTAGCAATTATGGTGATTATGGGAGTTGATGCCCAGCACATCTAGTGGGTACCAATTTAGTAAAGGTTTTGTTGAGGTTATGAGTTGTTTTTTTTAAATAGCTTTAGCAAAAAAAAGCTGCAATAGCTTTATAAAAAATCTAACAGGAGATCTGATCCCAGGTCATCAATATCTCATTTAAAATGGCAATTATTTACTTATTTATTTGTAGTAAATGTACTTAAGATTAGAATTTGTGGAAAATGCTTTCTTCATAGGAAATACATAATTTTAGAGAACAAACAGTACTGAATGTTAAAGAATGTAAATAGAATGAGACTATTTATACATTTTAAAGTACAGATGCAGGAAAAAACCTGGAGGTATTTGCTATTTGTTTTAAGTACTGTTATACTATTGTTACGAACAAAGCCATCACAACTTTTTCTAACAGAAAAGTTCTCTTGACCTACACTTCTACACCTGGCAAATCTAGATGGCCATCTTTAACTATCATTTATTTTTTATTTCAATGCTTTTAGAGTTTATTTCATGCAATCCCAAATGTTTTAGCAATTCCTATTTTGTTGCTTAACATCTACCGTAATCTTCATCTAGCCCATGTTCTAGACATGAAAAGTCACCATAATACTGTGTTTTTCTACGTTGAGGTGAGCAACCTGCAGCTCATTACTCTTACTCTTCTCCACCCTTCAGAACCTAGTTAGCTAGGTGCCCCTGAGTTAGATTCATGATAACTGCATAGACAAATGTTTGCCACCTCTATCTCTTCCAGACATAATTGCCCAAACAAGAGTGTCCCCAGGATATAGTAAAACAGAAGTCAAGAAGGTGGTGAGGATGCACACATAAAAAACAGGAGGAGCTTCAATCACACCATTATGGCCACCATCTTGACTTTTTTTTATCATCCCTGAGGAACCCCACACACCTAAAATTGATGGAACAGTTACCTCCATTTTTTATGCAGGAAACACACAAAAATTATAAAATGAAGCCCTAACATAGGCTTACTATAACAAATAGACCCAAATTCTTGTCTGAAACCACCACCACCGCAAAAATAGATTTGCATATTTGACATCTATTCCTTGTTCATTATAGTCCCTCTCTAAATGTCTGTATCTGCCCATTTGTAGTCACTGACTGGGCCAAAATTAGTGCTTAAGAAAGATGAGACTAGGATATATCCCCATTTGCACCTCACCATGACACAAATGTTGCCTGGCAATCATTATTTCTGCAGTGTCCCCATGACAGTTGTCTTCACTGCATGAGTGACAGCTTTAAATTGTCCTTAGCTGTATATTACCCTGCTTTCCTCCTTAAGTTGACAGCATCCATTGAAGGCCACAAGGCGTATAAAATTTGGTACATCTCACCACCCATCGTGTTTGAGATGGACTCAGGTGACCATAAATGGGTGTATACAGAGCAGCCCTTATTGGTCTTTTCAGGTTGATATGGGCACATTTCCTCCCTTTTGGGTCCCAGTCAGCTTCATATGCCATCATTCTGTAGCTGTCTCTCTAAAGAGCTGGACACAATGGCATTGTATTGATAGGCTATCAGAATTGTGCAATATCAGTAGACATCTCAGCTGACACTATTTTAAATACTTCAGCACTATGGTTCTTAACAATTTATTCCAGAGCTGCATCATTTCTGCTGCATCACTGTAATTGGCAGATATTTCTTCTGCTAGCTGGTAGTATGCAGGAGGAGGATAGCAAAGCAGGAGGAATCAACCAACTATATTGTTGTCCAGTCAGAGAAAAAATAACTGCAAAGAGCTTACTTGCTCCTGATAAGAAAGCACAGGACTGCAGGAGCATATAATGGTATATGCTTACCCAATTCTTCCCCAACAGCAAGAATGGCATCAACAAAAGTATTTTTAGATAGTATTGCTATCTTAATGGAGTCAGGAAGAGTAAGACAGCACAATGTCCACTACAGATTTCAATCAATATGTGAGGGAAATATATCTTTGGGTGAATCTTTGGGTGAAAGAAGCAAGTTTTTAGAGGCCTCAAATGAATGGGATCGCCTTAATAAAATTGAAACATAAAGGAATGTACAGCACCCTTGAAGTTGGTATGAACTAGGCTGATTGTAAACCCCTTATCACAAACATCCCCATAGCAACGTAATGGAGGATGCCTTCTTCCTGGCAGTTGGCACCTTGAATCAATTTGTTTCTTCCTCTCAGACACTATTGCTTTCCTTATAGATAACAGTTGTTCTGTCCTTGTAGATAGCAGACAAGAACAAGGACAGACAGTAGCTTGAGAAGTACTGCACATTTAGGTATGCCTGCATCATCATATGAATATGTATATATATGCATTCTTTTCCCTTCCCCTTCTTGTAGAACTGTATAAATATCAGGACATCCATTTTGCCTACAGGGGAGTGTCTCCCACTAACCTTTGGTGGGGTCCCCCCCCAGTACGTACTGCCTGATAAACAATGCAGTGAAGCCTTGATTATTTTGCCTTTGTGGCTTGTGTTTTGATTCTACAAATATATTATAAATGTTATCTTCCTCTTTCTCAAGCGTACCTACATGCTTACTTTTTCTCTCTATTCATTGTCAGAGTTGGAAAATACCATAACGTTTAAACAAAACAGAAATTGGACTACACAATGTAAAAGGTACACTACATTTATTATATTATATCCCTTTTATCTAGCAATATTGTTGAAATGAAGATCAGATATCTGTATGTTGAAATATGGTGAAAAAGTAAAAAAATTCAATGGGGTGAACTTACTTTTTCACATGAGTGTAGACAGCTGCTCCCCATCTTTAAAATGTATATGTTGTTTAATAAATGAGTTTTTGTTTAGGCTAGCATATTGCATGGACATCTCCTCATAGTTCTGTAGCTCACCCACAAATATTTGAGTGAGATGTTAGTAAGTGTAGTGTATTTTTACTTCCTAATAGGTTTTCCAGTTTAAGGTTCCAGCTAGTCATGTTCAATTCTAGTAGGCCCTTTCATTTACCTCCCATCATCCAAGATTTCAATTCTAAACTGTACTATTTCTGATTTCTCCATCATTGCTTAATTATTTTTATTATTATTGTTATTTGAAGGTTCCACAAACCTGAATGCTTCTCTAAGCATGCAGAAATCTCCTTTTTGCTTCCAGGCAACCCATTTTGGATGCAGCCCTATTGGCATTCCCCACTTCAGCTCACTATTAGAGGGAGTAATGTATTTTGTTTTGTATGAAGAGATTCAAGATGGATGACCAACATCATCTTACCATCCATGCCAGCAGCAGTGTCCATAACAAGCCACAATGACATCAGAATGACAGCAAGTGCATAACATTATTGAACAAATGATGGAATTATCTAATAGCTGTTTTCACTATCGTAATGACACAATATCTTCAACAGGGCAACTTTGAGCAAAGCACAATAAATATACTACTTCCCATTCTCAACCCAATACGGTACCTGTTTGTGTAAGGGCAGCGGCATTCCTTACAAAGTCCTCGACTGGCATCTCCAAAGTAACCTTCTTTACAGCGTTCACACTTTTCTCCAGCAGTATTATGCTGACAGTTCTTTTTAAAAATATACAGAAGCCAGAAGGTTAGCAGTGGTCTGATTTTTCAGGTTGATTATAAATGCCAAGATGAGAAAATGACGGCTGATGTGTTCTAAGCCATCACATATTTACCTTACTGCAAGACTGAACAAATAAATTAGACTCAGTGTCTGGCCAAAGGGTGCGCTGACAATTGTTTCCTGCTTAGTTTCAGGAGTGATAGAATAGTTTTACAGTAACACAGCTGGTCAACACATTATGAATTTAAAATAATAGTTGTTTCACAATTAAGATATTCTTGGTTAGAAGTGATTTAGCAGTTATAATAAAGCTTACTTTCACCGAGCTTGCAGTTTCTCTTAATAAACAAATTAGTCTGCTACTTTGATCATTGTCTTCATTTGGGTAGATGCACTGCCTAAAAGCAATGTGGGTATACTCAGCAACAGAGCATTTGACTGCAGATCAGTTTGTCTCAGGAGGTTTAAATATTCTTACATTTATACAGACTGATCTATATACCTTGTTGATACATATTCCAGCCTAGCAGAACAGGAATGATGAAAAGAAACTCCCCCACCAGCATGGAAATAAAATCCTACTGCAGTATCAATTATCAATGCTGCTCTACAGGTACTAATATTATTCCTCTGTCATAATATGCCAGTGTTAGGCACTGGGCAGCAAGGAATATTATGGTGGTAAAAGTATTTGGCTCCATGTTTTCTGGCTCTGTGTGTTTTCTAGCTATATAAACAGCTCTTAGTCTAGCTGCTACTAGTTGGTTAAATTATTTATCTGTGATCATGAAGTTATTATTTTCTACTTGGAGGAACATATAATAACACCTTTTAAACTGTTTTAAATTCCTATTCAATGTTGCATTTCTAACTGGAAAGAAAGACTTCATAAACAAGGCAAACTAGCTATCCAAACAATGCAAGCTGTAAAAATTGTTTGCAAATATATGACATTTATCTATAACACAACACGGATAATCATTGGGGCTACCACATCTGGGCTGCAAAACAAAAAAACAGATGACTCAGATGATTACCAGACCACCACTCTATGCTGCCATCTAGGAGTCATCTGGATTTGTGTCACCCAATCTGGTAGCTCTAATGGCCAGTAAAGATAATTAGAACAAAGCCAAAAAAGTTAATTTTTAGAAAACTCTCAGTCTTAGGGCAATGTACACTATGTAGCTCTTGCTTGATCGTACTGGTTGTGTTTGCTTGTTATGGCCTGTTCCTCAATCAAAATGCCTTATGATTCACACCTGTTTTGGAACACATTGATTTGGCGAACCAGCTCCTATATTTAAACTCAAAAGGGTTTGTCAAAAACAAAGTCAAGGGAAGTATTGTGTAATGTCAAAGAACTCTGTGTGGGCAATGAATAATGAGTAAATCTGGGCAAAAAAAATGTGGGTAGGGAAAGAAGCCAGGGCTGTGTAATGAATCTGGCAGTAAATGTATTTACATAAGAAAAAGGATCCTAAGGACAAATTTTCAATATACTGTAGAGAAAAAGGCAGTGAAACATTCTAAAAGTTTATGATACACCAAAAAAAAATGCAAGTCTTGTCCTTAAGTCTTGCCAATCAAGCTCCTTTAGAAGTATTGCTTTGATTAATTAATTTCAAAAGGAAATAATGCCAAAAACCAACATTGCTGTGTAAATATCAGGTGTCTGAGCAGCTCAGCATTATACCCCCCAGTTCCCTTACCTGTGCTTATAAATGCATCCCACCCAATTTTTACTCTTTGGATAGAACTGCTGTTACATTCCATGGCCACATATGGATGATCACAGCTTAATAAGCCAAGCAGGTGAAATGAAACCATTGTTTAAAGCTGGCTTAACATCCTGGCTTATTCCCAAACTGTAGTTTCATTGTTCAGATGTATCATGAAAGCTATAATTAACATAATGGCATGAAGAGAAGCATGAAGCCGCTGCACCTGGATTCTTCACATCTCAGCTTGTAAGTTAAATTACCTGTGTTCAAATGTAACCTTGGTAACTCTTGTTGAAAGAGAAAAAAAAATAAAGAATGCATGCTAAGCATGGCAAGTGAAGATAATTCAAACTTGACAAGCTTCTGTGGATGTTTTTGCTGTAATAGATATGTCAATTTTTACTGTGCCTCAAAGACCTTTGTATTTTTGCAGGGACAAACAATCTCTCTCAAATTTATTACTGTGTTTGTGAGTTCGTTATAGTTCTGGTGTAGGTGCTTAACTGTTTGGTAAAAGGAAGACAGTCCATTTTGTTCAGTAGAGGAAGGGCTCTCTGTATGCAGAGCCCCGTATTCTGTTGTGGTTTGAGCTTCTCTGCTGGAGACTGATTTAGATAAGAAAGTTGCAGGGCAAGCTGAAGGGCGGAGATCTATTAGAATGTTGGACTGAAGTAAAAGAAATTAAGAAGAGCACTTGCAGCAGCATTCGTTGTAATTACTTACAATACAAATTCCAGAACCATCCAGGCATCTCTCTGCATTTCCATGACAATTGCACGGAACACACCTTCCTGTAAATAGACCCATATTCTCACGATAGAATCCAGGACTGCATTCCTGGTGTATATAGAAGGAAGGAAAAGTTGAATATTGTTTGAGAAGATTAGAAAATTCATTCTTTTAAATTAGATCTCTGTGGGATTTGAAGGTAGAAGAAATTTAATGGTGTTATGATCTATAACCATATTAGTACATATTACAAGATGAACACAGATCAGCCCCAACAGATTATAATATCTTGGCTTAATAAACCAAGATAATGAGACTTCTTTTGACTATGCAAATAGACTCTGCTTTATTCTCTTCACCCAAGGTGGTGAACAAGTCAGGAAGTCTTCTACTTTCTACAATGTCTCTTTCCATCCAGGTGAGGAAACCATAGCACTGGACAACTCAGGCTCTTAAGCAAACCTAAGAATGAAGAACCTATAGTCAATGGAAGACTTCTTGGCTAGTTTGATTTCTCTCATAAAAGGGTTGTATGCATAGCCAAGGTTTATTTACACCTCTGCTTATAATAAGATATGACTGAACACAAACAGTGTCAATTTCAAAGTCCATAAACTTCCTGAATACTGGAAAAGTAGTTATACATATTAAATTACAAGATCTGTCAAGAATTATTTTATGAATTCTATCACCATAGTGATGATTTGATAGCATATATTTCATTTGCTATTCAGAATATTTTCAGACATATATGCACTATTCATTAATATATTTCCAGCGTTTACAGTTTAATTTCCAATGCATTGTTATGAAGGCAGTGTATTGATTATTATGTTGGACTGGGAAACTTAGGGGAAAATTGGAGGCAGGAATGCTATGTATATTACTTTGAGTTTGTGGAAAAAAGATGGATGGAAAATAATTATAATTATAATAACAACAACATCTGCCTATCCCAGGTCCTTGGGAAGGACTCGATAGAAGGATAAAAATGCCAAATCCAGTCTAAACATCTGGCTGACTATGCGACCAACAATAATGTTACCTTTGCTAAATAATTTCTAACTGGAGACATATGAACCAATGCTTAGGAAACAAAAGTGTTCTTTAATACAAAACATATACAGTATTTGCATTCTTAACCCAAAGACAGGTTAAGCATAAAAAGAATGTTCATTGGCTAGAAATTTTTAAGAGGAAAAAGCTGTACTTTTTAAGCTTAATCAATGGAAACATTGCAGACCAGACCATGTTACAGAAATAACTTTCTCTAAAATGATGTCTAATTCCAATAAGACGATACCTTTTGAACTATTTTATACCATAGCTAACACCAGCAAAATACAAGAAATATAACCACACCCATTGCCAAACTTTTGAGTCTTTGATCATCCCCTCTTCAATATCTATTATTATTTCACTAAGGCCATCTGTAATTGGACAAACTCAGCAGCTGCTGTTGCACATTCTCTCTGTGTGTAAGCACATGGAAGAAAGATCTCAGTGTCATATCCCATTGGACTTGCCTCTGACCTCTGTCTGAATTAAGGGATTTAACTGAAGTGCCGAAAGCCACGGTGGTTGCTGACCACTGGACTGAGGATTGCCCCAGTGAAAGATAGGTCATTCACACACATCATGGTCACCTTATGACTATATAACTGCAAGAATGACACATTCCATCAATTAAAATGTCTCTGATAATTTATATATTATAATCTAATAATAGATCATTTCTAAAGCTAATTGTCTTTCATAAATTGAATGAAAACTGGTAGAAAAAATTCAGAATAATTTCTTTATCACCATCTTCATAGTTTTTGTGCATTGGATTTTTCTCCCATCAAAAAAGGCAAGCCACAACCCCTAACACAAAGCAGGTCCATATATTTTCTTTGTGGCCTCTGCCTTACGTATAATCTTACCCCACAAGATTCCAAACATATGTTTAATAGGCAACTGGAACCATGCTGGACACTAAAGAAAGTGACAAAGCTGTGTAGGAGACAATTACAGAGGGAAAGCTGCAAGAAAGGCAGTTAAGAACCCCACCTTTCAACATCTCTGCTGTAAACCATCCTCTGCTGAAATAATTCACCAATTAGATGTTGCTGTTGGAGTTTAGTTAATGTTGACATGTAATATATACTTTCTTCTTAACAAAGCCATTAGGTAGGAAATCACTTAATGAATTAGTTGAGCAATGGAATATACTAATCTCTTTATGGATACACCTATTCACATGAGTGAACTTATGCAAAATGGGATCTTAAACTATTAATTTAAGAGCTTGGTTTGAATATCAGTGAAACTCTTTGATTAAAAAAAAGGATTAATCCTTCTAGTATAATGAGACTTCAACTAATAACTGGTTAGAATATATTAATCTTGGTCCATTAAATTAATAGTGCATTAACTTTTGGTACCATGTTTTATGAATGGAATCTATGGGTATAAATGTAATAGAGCAGTGGGGAATCTATGGCCATCCAAATATTTCTTAACTGCAGATCCCAACAGCCTCAACCAATATGCTCAATGATGCTAGAAGCTGCAATTCAGTAGCATTTGGAGGTCCACAGATGTTCACTGGTATTCATCAATCAATGCTAAGTTCAGTGGAGAGTGAATGTGATTCATTTAATTGTTGCAATTAGGGATGGATCTGACATTTGCCTAAAAGCCATTTTCCCTCTTGGCCTGATTGACTGGATTCACATACCACATTAAGCTATAATCCACCACCATCCAATTGTTGGGTGCTCCATCATGCTATAAGAAACCAAACTAATCATGTTCTGGGTTAACTCAATGAACATTTAGTACTGGACAAAGTAATTTGCATCAATTCAAATTCCCAATTTGTAAATATTGGGATGATGAACTATCTCACAGGACACAATAACATTACAAACCTTTTTAAATTAATAATTCTCAGTGCATGGTTATACTAGGCAATTAGGTTGGCCAAGCCAGTAGAATGGACTTTTAAGATGGAGGTCATTGCAAAGATATTTGGCTAAATTAGAATTAGTAATTATCAATAAAGATATCAATTAAAGGAAACTGTTAGGGACAACTAAATAGGAATTAATCATTTTAAAGTGAGTGGTTGTGCTTCTCGTGTAAAATTGGCAAAAACTGTTCTGAAACAAACAGCAGTATCTATGTTAATAAAAAAAATATTTTTCATCATCTTTTTCTTTTCAGAAAAAAAAATCCTATACATATAAAACATCCCTATTAGGAAGGTTTTTTTTTTTTTTTACATATTTCATAGGTATTTAACTTGCTATGTGCAGCAGCACCACCATATCCATTTATATATTAACATATTTGCAGTCAACATTTCAACCCCACAGGGGAACAATGTCTTTAAACAGTTTTGTTTTTCGTATGTTTGGAACAAGGATTACAATCTTCAGTGTAAAAGGAAGCAGACTAACCATTTACTGACCTCCCACACTGGTAGAATCCAGTGTGGATTCTGGCTATCAAGAAAGAGATCAGTTGGCTTTACTGGTTTGGCCCTAAGGCCATGCTTAACATGCTTTCATGTCAGGATTTTTTAAAAATTCAACATGAAGAGAACAGGTGGGTTGAGAGTAGAAAAAGAGAAGAGTGGTTACCTGTCTTGGTTTAAAATCCCATTGACCTTGTTGCTGTTGACCACGGCCAGGGAGCTGTGAAAATGCTATCCTTTGTTGCGAAACATGTCCCAAACACAGCCTCAGGCCCACGCAGAAGGCCAACCACCCAAGGCTGCACAGCCTCCATCCTCCAGCCCTCATTTTGCTGAGCCTCAAGCTGAGCTGCTCCCTTGCACAGCCCTTTTTATTATGCAGCCCTTTCCCTTATGCTACTTCGTACTGTTTTGCTTCTGGCTCTATCCGTATGCCAGGATCTGCTCCTCCTTTAAACTTTGTACATGAGTCAGGTTGTGCAATACAGAGCAATGCCTTTACAGTTCCTGAATTAAGGTGTGGCAGGCATCACCTTTTTCCTGCCTAACACAGTGAGACAATACTAGACGATGAAGCAGCCCCGTAAATCACAGGCTGAGTAATTCTGAGGAAATATGTTGGGTGGGTGTGTTCCTTTCTGGAGTGTGTCTATGTCTACCTTTGGGCTATGTATTTTCACCAGGCTAGAGAAAACAAAGTGAGGAGCCCACAAACCAGACAAGGTGTGTTCAGGGAATAGGAAAAGCAATGGTAAGGGTTTAAATGCACGCTTGACAGGCAGATCAATTGAATATTTCATATCACAGATTATAAATTCATTTAAAATAAAACTGAAAGTATTTTCAAAGTAACATTCAACAAGCCCAGTATCGTAACTTGAGAAGAAAACTGACAGGGTTACAGGCCAATCTTAAAAATATTTGCTTTGTAAAAGGTTGCAGTGATACCAAATCAGGAGTGAAATGATGTCAAATAAGCAGGGTAAGCAGAAGGGTAGATTGGCATAGCTCCGGCACCACTAAGAGAAGAAAGAAGTTTAGGTGGTGCAGCTTTTTCCACTCTGACCTGACAACCTGCACCTTAAATTTTAGTTTCCTACAAAAATAGGAAAGTCTTGTACATTTGTCATCCTTTAACCAATAACTCACAGAGACAAGAAAGTTACTGCAAAATAATCAAATTAACTGCATGGTATCAACAAAAGTAGACTGAAAACTTGGCAGAACTCTACCTGGCATTGCAACATCTTAGCCAGGTAGAACCAGAGAAGGATTCACAGATCATACTACTGTTTGGTTTTACAGTACAATGTTTTGAGTGAATTCAGCCAGCTGTGTTTTTTCAATAAACTACGATTAACTAAACCTTAAGTTAGGGCCATACATTAACTGGATTATGTTATGTTGGCTTTACATTTGATTTTTTTTTTACATATTTGCCTATATTGTTTTTTTTTAATCACAATGTCTTTGAATAAATGTATTTTCTACAAGCAGATTATGTGGCTACAGTATAATTTTCCACTGAACTGCTAAGATGGTTCAAAATACATCTCTGCTGCACTTTTAAGTCAAATCATTGCGAACAATGCTATCTCGTTCCTAGAGCCAAATCAGTACTGTTACCCTGAACAATGTCTCATGGATGATGCAGAACAAAGAGAAAGAAAATCTCCTACCTGACATGAATCACCCATATATTCAGGAGGGCAGGAACATGCCTCTACAGCATAAGCAATATTACCATTTCCTGTATTGGTGGCTTCTTCCAGACCAACATCGCCCAGGGTTAACCGCTGAGTTTCTGTGAAGTAAAGACCTCTGATTTGTAATCCATCTAGTCTAGACAGGACCAACATCAGCTCCTCTCGAGATACTAAGTTATTGCTGCTGGTGTGCCTGAAGTTCCCCTGCACATTCAAGATACAAGTGAAATGTGGGTATGGAGTACATTGCATTAATCTCCTATAGCACAGGAAAAAAGGGACATTAATTTTCAAACAAAGACAGCAATGAAGATCAGGTGCTGGCAGTCTAAGGGGACACTATTACTACTAAGGGGAAAAGGTGCTAGTAAAATAATTGAATCGAGAAAGGACTAAAGTCAGGCAAGAGATAATTAAAAGAATGATATGGTAGGTATGATCAGTGTTAGCAATCAACATATAATAACAGAGAACTTGGGAGCAAAACATTTCTATTTTGAGAATGTTCTTAAAACAGTTACCAAGCAGCAACAGCTCTTTATTTATGCAAGCCATTTGGAGATAGATATGTCAGCACGAACACCTTGATTTTACTCGAGAAACCAGGGAGAGGGATCCAGTTTTGTCAGAACTGCTGGCACATGCTCCCACCGGGATATACACAACTGAAGACTGGTCCCCCACATTACAATAATCTGTTCAGGAGGTAACCAGTATGTGGGATATAGTGGCCAAACTGGCCCTTTCCAAAAAGAGTTGTAGTTGATAAACCATTCACAATTGGAAATAGGTGCTCCCTGCTACTGCAGTGGCCTGAGCACTTAGGACAGGTCCATGAGTGCAATGACAGCAATTGCCCTCTCCAAGCCTCTTCAAGTCTCTGCTCCTGAACATGGAAAACTGGTAGGAGAACCTAGGCCCTGATGACATCACACAGCTCGCCCAACACAACTTTTGTCCTTGATCAAATCTCCCAGGAAATATACCTTGCATTTACCAGGAGAAGAGACGCAGAGGGGGAATTGTTGGGAGTCCTCCTGGCCTTGTCCTGACTGGTAACCTGGCCTAAGAGCGGGACAGGCGCTGCTACTTGTCACACCTCAATACCTCCACCTTCCCCAGCACCTTCCACAATTGTCTGTCCCTTCTCCTCCTCCACCAAAAGAGCCTCCAAAAGATTAAAATACATAAAACCTCCCACTCTAAGATAATAATCCACTCACAAACACACCCATAACTAAGTTCTCAAAAATAAATCCTTCTCCCAATCAATCTATCGAGCTCCTATCTTGGAAGATAATGTCCATTAAGAGAAAAGTTTTTTTAAAAAATGCTTGACATCTTATTAGGTTGCTGTCTAGCATATTGGTCAGGGAGAACCAAATATGTTGGGTATATGAAGGAAAAGTTTGTTAGAAAATAAAACTGTACAATCTTCCACTTCCAACCTATTAAAATGTTAGACAGCATGATGCTATGCATATATTCTCCACAGGTTATATATTCTTACTCATTCTGAATAGCAAATGGCATTAAATGCCATTCACTCCCACTGATACAAGAATAAAAGACATTTGATACACTGCTTCTAAGGAGCTATGGAGCATGATTCAATACCTATCTTCAGTTCTAATGCTTAACTCAGCCTAATACATCAAAATATAATCAGTTTGGAATGGCCTCAAACTATCTTCAAGCACATCCGTAATTGCAGGTAGAGTATGATGCCAAATATCTTTATTTTTCAGGTCTAAACATGAATCAGTCAAGAACCCAACTTGTCTATTCAGGCAACCAGTGCATGTAGCTGCTTAACTATAATACAACACATTATTGTACTATATTACAGAATTACTTGATGCCAGAGTAACTTGATGCTGCTCTTCTGTGTTCTGAAGGAAGAAATGTATCCACATAGGTAACTAAACAAGCTATTTTCACAATCTGGCTTCTGGCAATATTCCCCCAGGTCCTCTGGCTTTGAGAAGTCCCGTGGTAGCACAACAGGCACATTTTCTTAAATAGGAGATATAGCACTGGATACATATGGTGTCCTTAAAATCTTTGATTATTTACAACATAGAAGCAAAGCAAGTAGGAGGAAGAGGATTCCAAGCAAATATGTAGCACAGCTGTTAATCCTCCACCAGATTCCCAAAGAACAACTGGACCCCAGGGATGCTTTACCTCTTTCCAAATGCTGATTAAAAATGCTGTTCTCCCTTGCTGCATTCAAACTATAAAATTGCTATCTTCTATAGCACATGAAGACCAATCTTGGGACCAACCCTGTAGTTTGATTTCCCACTGAGAAAATATCCTCAATTATTTACTGAATAATAGGCCATCTGCTCACCTATCACTTATAACACCATTCTGGATCAGAACGTATAATTACAGTACAGATTCTTCTCACACATGGAGATTCATTATATACCGCATCAAATAAATAAATATTTACTGCCCATTTAATGCATGCTTATGAGATTTTTTCCCCCCCTGTGGACAATGGAATACTCAGAACTGCAGTCTTGGAAATTATCCTTAGAGCAGGAACATTTATGTTTGCTTTTTCTGATAAGGATCAAAAATAGGCAAAAGTTTGATGACATAGCTTACCAAAAGTGAGTTAACATTGTTCTTACCTCAACTAATTGAACTGATCCATAATACTGTTTGTCTGGCAAAGGATTATTAGGATCTATGTAGAATATTTTCATCTCCTGTCCCTGTGCAAAAGTAGTTCAATGTCAGTACAATACCATACCTATGTACCAAAATAGCATGCTTCCCACAGAATTAGCATGATTCTCAAGTTACTTACTTAAAAACTTATATCCCACTTTCTTCTTGCCAAGTAGTTCAAAAAGCAAGCTTCTTAAATGCTAGGCCAACAGTGTACCGAAAAGTGTGATAGTCATGTCAAACAGTGAAACAATATAATTGCTTGTATATGAGGTAAATAATTGTCACTTTTGCATTTCACTGTGCATTGACATCATTATTTACCATTCTCTTTCTCCCAGCAAACCATGTACCTATATATCTGCAACTTAGGATAATGCTTTCTGCATGAAAATGTCCATGGAAACATATGCAACAATCAATGTGTTAGGCTTTGTGGTATTAGAAACTTCTTTTATTTTTTCTCAGTATTGTATTAATTTTAGAAATACTTTCAGTATTAAATCAAAAAAGAATAAGAGAATAAGCATAATGATAAAATATATTATTACATCAGTTTGGGGACCTAAAGTAGAAATGGTGTGAAGGTCTTGTTTAGATAGGGACGGACCTGGGGAGAGCTCATGGCATGCTGGCTGGAAATTATGCAGGTGCCATTCAGTGTATCTGAAAGCTACCAGGTTGGGGAAACTTGGAATTAGAGGAAACTTTCAGCTCCCACAATCATTTCTTTGTTAACCATATATTTCTCTCAGTGGAAATAGAAGGTGCCCAAATGTAGAAAACTCAGTTTTACTTGAACATGAAACAAATCTCCTTCTTCCCAGAAACTAACACTTGTTTAGCTCCTTTATTCTCCCCAAGGGATCTTTCTTATAACCACTCCTTGAGTCAGCAGAAAAATATGTTGGCATTATTTGCACTGCTCCAATGGTCAAGCTGTAATCTGCTTCTATTACAGGCTTACAAATGGTCCCATCAGTACAGTTTTAGTATGAGACAATTTAAGGGAGCAATTGGGAGATTCCCCTCCCTTTGTTTCTCTCCCACCCAGTGTCACCAGCCAGCAGGATAAGCCTCCAATAATCACTCTTGTTAAAGTAGGGCAGGCTTGGGTGAGTATAATCGGGTGCCTAAGATGAATGCTTTTGACACCTTTCCCACGCGACAAGTCTTCAGCCTGGAGGTGCTCTGCATTGGTAACCTGTCATTCAGGCTACTTATGAACATGTATCTACCAGCTTTCTGGAAGAGCATTAAACATGTGTCCAAAAATAGCCCAGCTGACAGATTGATGGGACAGACAAGGAAAGCGGGCTAAACAGGGAGGGAACTCACATGGTGCACTGAAACAGCCTCCTGTTCTTTCATCTCTCCCCATCCTACACCTCAATGACTTGTCACTAGACTATTTCTGAATAGAGGTTTACTTGTCTGTCATCCAGGTTAGAAGGGAAAACTGGCAAAGCTCTGGTCAACTCCACCTCAGCTCCCAACTATTCCAAAGTGCTATAAGAGAACAGCAGTACCAGGAGCAAGTGGCCATAGTCAGCAGTACCAGGAAGTATTCCATGGAGTATGCAAAACATTAAAGTAGGCAAAATGGCACCACACCAAAGTAATAAAAACAGTACAAAGCATGGTCTTCCGTTATTCCTTGTCAGCCAAAGTAACAGAAAGCCTATAATCCACCAATTTGGACAGAACCAGCAACTCAGCTCTTTCCTAGTTTAAATCAATTGGCAGTCCATTCTTTCTACAGACAAGTCACCAATCTTTTGAAAGTCTTCACTAGTCTTTAAAAACAAGTCTAGTGCCCTTCAAGAAAATCAGTATACCAGTGCACATTATTTCTGGAGAAGTCTGTAATGCTGGGAAAGGTGGAAGGAAAGAGAAGAGGCAAGGTAGATGGAATCAGCTACAGCAGTGATGGGTGCACTGATGGAAGACTTGAAGAACCAGGTTAGGGACAGATTGTCATGGTGGCACATAATCAATCAGCACTTTGGGAAACATGAGCTAGGTTTACATGGGCAGATGCCTCCACAGAAACTCCATGTCCAGTTTCTCCTACAGCCAAGCTAAAATGGCTATGGAGGGCAGTGCCCATGGAAGGGAGGGAGCATGAATGCAGCAGCCTCAACCAGCCAACAGTAGCTCAGCTGATGCTAGCCCTGACCACATCATCATCAAGATAATGAATGAGGCATCAGAGATTATTAATATGCCAAGACTTGTGGCCAGAAAACACTAGGACAAAGAACAAATTTAGACTGCCTCTATGATGGGCAGATGAGATGAGCACTTATCATGACCTCTAAAAATGGTAGGTAGGGCATCTTCATGCCAGTTAGCAGAACTTAAGGAACAGTTCTATCAAGGGATAGGCTTGGAGATAATATCTACTTAGAAACCAGTAGATATGCACAGCAGTAAATAACAAGTCAATACAGCTTT